CAACCTAGGCATGTGCCCTGACTGGGAATCAAACCCATTACCTTTCGGTATACAGGATGACACTCAACCTACTGAGCCACATAGGCCAGGGTTGGAGCCACATTTTTATAGTATTGAAAGAAAAAAATCTGTCAACTTAGAATTCTTTTTTTTTTTTTTAAATATATTTTATTGAGTTTTTTTTTTTTTTTTTTACAGAGAGGAAGGGAGAGAGATAGAGAATCAGAAACATCGATGGGAGAGAAACATCGATCGGCTGCCTCCTGCACATCTCCCACTGGGGATGTGCCCGCAACCCAGGCACATGCCCTTGACCGGAATCGAACCCGGGACCCCTCAGTCCACAGGCCGACGCTCTATCCACTGAGCCAAACCGGTCTTGGCTGTCAACTTAGAATTCTACATCCAGCAAAAAGTATGTATTTTTAAAAGGTGAAAAAGACTTTTTCAGACATACAAAAGCTAAAATAATTTATCACCAGCAAGCCTGCACTATAAAAAAATATCAAGTTCTTCTAGCAGAATACCAGATGGATAAATGGATCTACACAAAGGAAAGAAGAGCTACAGAAATGACAACTATTGGAAAAATATGTATGGTTTTCTCTTATTTAAATCTCCTTAAAAGAAAATCTGTTTTTAACACTTGGAGTGGGGGAAACGAGTTAAATCGGCTCGTGTGAATTGCGCGTACTCCGCGGGAGCCGTCTTTAACTCGGTTCATATAGATTTGCGGTGGAGTGCGGGAAACGTGTAAACTCGGGCCGATTGTAACTGCGTATTACCAAATATTTGTTTGTAATCCACCCTTTTGGTGGATGGAACAAAACCAAAAGACAGAGCCATCTTATATTTTGGCGGGAAATTCACCCCACACCGGAGTGTTAACACCAATGCAGTGTGGGGCTCATACATAGGTAAATGTAAAATGTATAAACAGCACAGCCACTAACAAATCTGGGTGCAGGATGGAAGGTGAAATACATCAGAAACTAAAACTGAACTATCATTAGAGATAGTCTTACAAAAATTAAAGAAATACTACATACAACACAATTAATGTGGAAAGATACAAAAAATGTTTGATTTTTTTGAAGGATGTAAGGTATCCACACTGACTTCTGAGAGAGTAGAAAACATGAATAGAATAGCTGTAAAGGAAATTGAGAAGGGAATAAAAGAGTTACTTCTAAGACCCCAATCCTATGTAATACAAGCCTAATATGCTAAGTGTCTGGTTGTCCGTTCAACCAATCAAAGCATAATATGCTAATGATATGCTAAGGACGCTCAACCACTCACTATGACGTGCACTGACCACCAGGGGGAAGACGCTCTGACTGGTAGATGAGCTTGCTGCTGGGGTCCGGCTGATCGGGACTGAGCAAGATGGGCAAGACACACTCTGGAGCCCTCCTCTGGTCCCTCCCTGGCTGGCCAACCTCCCGTGTCCCTCCCCAAACCTGATCGTGCACTGGTGGGGTCCCTTGGCCTGGCCTGTGCCCTCTCACAATCCAGGACCCCTCAGGGGGGTGTCAGAGAGCCAGTTTCGGTCTGATCCTGCAGGGATCCCATTGGTGCACGAATTTGTGCACCGGGCCTCTAGTAGGTATATAAATGAATTCAAGTCTTCTAGAAACAGAGAATTCCTATATTATTCAAATTTTTCCCAAGGCACTGAAAAAGATAAGCTTATCAACTTGCTCTACAAAACTAGCAGAACTGTAATTCCAGAAACAAATTAAAATAAACATTTTTTAAAGAAAGCCTAATGAATACAGATCAAAAAATTCTTAAAAACTTGAAAACCAAATAGAATTCTAGAGTGAATTAAATGCACAATATATTGAGATACATAGTTTTAATAATAAAATGCAATAATGGTTCAAGGTTAGCAAATCTATTTTAAGAAAGTTTTCTATGTTGAAGCCTTCTTTTTAAATTCAATAATTTGATAAATGTTCCTTCATCTATTCATCAAATATTTACAAAGTAGCCCTGTCTGGGTGGCTCAGTTGGTTGGAGTGGCATCCCATACACCAAAAGGTTGCAGGTTTCCCAGTCAGGGTACATATCTAGGTTCAGGTTCCATCCCCAGTTGGGGTGTGTACAGGAGGCAACTGATCGATGTTTCTTTCTCACAGGGATGTTTCTCTCTCTCCCCTTTCCTCTCTCCCTAAAATCAAGAAAAACATATCCTCGGGTGAGGACTAAAATAAAAAATTTGCCTGGTCAGTGTTTCTCGGCGGTTAGAGCATCAGCCCATGGACCTAAAGGTCTCGGGTTCAATTTCTGGTCAAGGGCATATACCTGGGTTTCAGGTTCAATCCCGAGCCCCATTTGGGGCCCATATGGGAGGCAAGCAATCAATGTTTCTTTCTCTCTCTCTGTCTCCTCCCCCTTCCTTCCACTCTCTCTAAAACTCAATGGAAAAAAAAATATCATCTGGTAAGGATTAACAAACAAACAAAATAGAAGGAAAAAATTTGCCAAGTATATATATACTGAGTGGCCAGATTATTATGACCACCCCATCAGTACTTCGTTGGGCCACAATATTGAAGGCAAAAGATGGCCCAACGAAGTACTGATGGGGTGGTCATAATAATCTGGCTGGTCATAATAATCTGGCCACTCAGTGTACATGCCAGGCACTGGACACTGTAAATTCAGCAGTGAATAAAATATGGTCTCTGCTTTCATGGAGCTTAGATACACAAATAAAAAGAATGAAAATACAGTATAAAGGCTATTAAAGAGAAATACAGAGTAGTACGAAAATACATAAACTGATACTGAAACATTAGGGTACTGTTGGAATAACCCTGTTGTGATGATTGCCCAGTCTAAGATGGTGGCAGTTGGTAAAAGGAACATGGGTCTGTACAACATAACTAGAAAGTGGTATAAAATGTTTACGGTTGATTGGATGGAGAAGGGTAGAGTCAAAGATTCTTTGGGGGTGGTGTGTGTGTGTGTGCCTTAATATACATCCTATATAATAAAGAGCTAATATGCTAATTAGACCAAACAGCAGAACGACTGTCCATACATTCCGGACGACTGTCTTGACAAAGCCAAGGCTGTGAGGACCGGCTGAGGCTGCAAGGGGCTGTGAGGGCCGAGCCCCTTGCACAAATTTCATGCATCAGGCCTCTAGTTATGTATAAAAAGATAAAATAAGGGTCAAGCAAATTTGGAAAATATGAGGTTAAGTATAAGCAGATTTCTTTTTTTATTTGTTAATCCTCACCCAAGGATGTTTTTCCATCGATTTTTAGAGAGCAGAAGGGAGGGGGAGAGAGAGAGAAACATCGATGTGAGAGACACAATTGATTGCCTCCCATATGAGCCCCAACCAGGGCCAGGGATAGAGCCTGCAACTGAAGTACGTCATTGACCAGATTCGAACCTGGGACCCTTCAGTCCATGGGCCAACTCTATCCACTGAACCAAACAGGCTAGGGCAGTGGTTGGCAAAGTGCGGCTTGCGAGCCACATGCGGCTCTTTGGCCCCTTGAGTGTGGCTCTTCCACAAAATACGTGCGGGTACGCACATACAGTGCAATTGAAACTTCGTGGCCCATGTGCAGAAGTTGGTATTTTGTAGCGAGCCACACTCAAGGGGCCAAAGAGCCACATGTGGCTTGTGAGCCGCAGTTTGCCGACCACTGGTCTAGGGCATAAAGCTTATGCCATAAGCAGATTACTGGAGTACCGGTCAATAGCTTTATGGTGCTGTTCTTTATCATTCTCTAACAGAAAGTCAGTATTAGTACGTTTGCCAAACATTTGATTATAGAACCCTTATTTCATAGAACATCACGTGAGAGTATTTCATGGAACACTGGAGAAGCTGCTCTCCTGCAATCTCCTTCTTACTCCTGCACTCTCAACACTTACATAAATTGTCCACCAACTAGACTCAACTCTTCAGGAATGTCTTGTTCTATCCCTTAACACAGTACATAGTTTAGTTACTTTCAATGAAGTGAGATTAAAGTGAAAAAGATGATCTGGACCCTCACAGGTGTGCCCCAAAAGCACTGGAAAAGGATTATTCTGAATCAGGATCACCTATGAATCAATATGAAAGAAACTGACCCACAGATAAGTGGCAATAGAGCAGCATTAACCTTTGCTAGTATCTACAAATGCTACTGAATTGTCATGACACTTGAAAAGAACAAGTATATTAGAAACAAATCCTATTAAACTGCTTGAGATGAAAAACTTGATCTTAATATTCTCTATGCTGAATGGTTTACCTAGACAGAAAAATGTGTGCATTTAGAAAGAGGAAACTTGAATGTACATAAACTCCGAGAGACCAGGGAGTTTAATACTTGGAACAATAACCCATGTGTCACTGGAAGTCTTACTCTAAATATTAAGTTCAATATGTACAAAATGTATATTTCTAAGATGCTTGAAAAATTGATATTTTTTTCTCTTTAATTTCATGTTTTTTTAATTTATTTTAGAGAGGAAAGAAGAGGGATAGAGACAAAAACAAGGGAGAGGGACAGAAAGATAGAAACATCCATCAGCTGCCTCCTGCATGATCCTTTTGAGGATCAAGCCCACCACCCTAGCATGTGCCGTGACTGGGTATTGAACCAGTGACCTCTTGATTCATGGGTCCACGCTCAAGCAGAGCCACACCAGCCAGATGAACTGATATTTTTACAACCAATCACTGAATAAAATGTATGTTGCTAACTTTTTGTGTACAATGCCTCTATAGTGACATTAAAAAAAAAATTAAAAAAATAAAGAGCCCTGGCAGGTGTGGCTCAGTTGGTTAGGTATTGTCCTGTCCACAGAAAGGTTGCTAATTTGATTCCAGGTCAGGACACATGCCTGTGTTGAGGGCCCAAGCCCCAGTCAGGAAGCATGCAGGAAGCAACCGATCCATGTTCTTCTCTCATCGATGTTCCTCTCTCTCCAATCTTCTCTAAAAATCAATAAAATACTTTTAAAAAGAAGACACATACTCCTTTTTATGTTTTCAATATATTAAAAAGTAACAGTATAAAAATGCTATAGTTATTAAAAAGGATCCAAATATATCAAGGAGTGAATTTGTATAAACAAGCTCTACAATTAAAGGGAAACATCTTGATACATAAAAGTTTTAACAGGATTTAAACATTTTAAAATCAGAAAGTGTGTAAGACTTAACTCTTTCAAATGTTCAAACAGAAAGACAACATGTACAATCCCTATAATAAAACGTGTCCTTGCACACATACCCTGGGCACTTTAAAAATTGTAAATTTTTAAAGTTTGAGTAATAGAGGCAGCACTTAAAGGCTTTGTGAACCTTTTCCCAAACAAGCATACTTTCATAAATCATTTTATCTGACTCTGCATTTGCATTTTTGTTCTTCCTAAAAAGGAGAATTTACGCTAACACTGAATTTTTAATTAAAATGAAAACACATTTACAGATATTTAACTTCCTGAGTGACTTCAGTTATTCAGTCAAACATGATTTAATGAGAAAATTCTAATATTTTAGAATGAAAAAGGAAGTGTAGATTTACACTTGATATCCAATTAGGGCAAAACTCAGAGCATGTCACAGACCTTATACACCTACATTCTCTATGAAATTAAACAATATGATTATTCTCAAACTTTATCAATAATCTTTCTCAAATGTTAGTGAAACAAATCATTGAAATTACATTTTCTCATTTGTTTACAAAATACTACTGTATTTTGGAATACCAACTTGAATGTTTTCTATTATATACACAAAATGTGATTCACTAATAAGCAGGTTCTTGAGAATAGATCATTAAAATATTTGCCTTATGATACAACCAATACATATAACATGTGCCTTCCTCAATTTCTAAAACGATTAGAAATTGCGGAACTTTCTTTTGCGCATTGAACGCTTTCCTCTTCATGAAACCCTGAGGTGAAAGGTTATTAATGTAAAAACAGTAATCACAAGTCTTCTCATTTCTGTATTAGACTATAGATCACTACATGCTTTAAAAATTTTTATAAAGAAATGTGGGATCTTATAAAACTGCTCTGTACAGTTTTAACAAAACATTTCCAGACCAACTTAGTCCAAAGGGCCTAGGATGACCCTATAAAAACAATGTCCTTTGAACACTTGTTAGTTTCGAGATGAATGCCACTTTCCAGCTCTACTGCTGTCTCTTCTGTTATCGTGGTCATGGCTCCAGCCATCGTGATTCCTGTCTTCATAGAAGTAATCATCCCTGTGTCCTCTGTAATGCTGCTCACGGCTATAGTGTCTGTCTACTATGTAGGGATGAGAACTCTGCCTGGCTTTACGCAGTGATGATGGTGTATCTTGACGCCACTGGGAGCTTGAAGACTGGTTATAACTATGATTATGTGACTGAACTGATGGGGAAAATCCTGATTGATCAAGATGTGGAGAACCAAATTTCCCGCCATATGACATCTGTCTCAAAACGTTGTTCATCTGAGGAAGACAAAAAGAAGGAAATCTTAATTGCAAACATTTCTACATATCAAAGCCAATGGTTAGTCATAGTTAACTAAACTAATAATGATAGAAAAGCAAAATCACTCTTGCCTAGATGGATCTTTATTTAAACATAGCTAAAAGTAGTACAATACAATAGCTTAATTCACTCCACTGTACAGCTACAGGATATCTGTACGTAACTACTACTCCTTGCCCTCATGGAGACAGCTTAGAAGGGAAAAAATCCTACAAAGTGACTATAATATGGATCACTATGTGATGAACATATAAAGAGCCAAGAGCTCAGTATCATTAGGAAAGGCTTCAGGAAGGTGGCATATGATCTAGGTATCAAAGGCATGAATGGACTATTTTTAGAAAATTATTTTAAGGTGATAATTATGCCAAGGAAAGAAAACTGCACAAACAAAACAAAGCAAACACACAAAACAAAACAAGGAGATACTGAATGGGTTCATAGAATAGCAAATAAATTCTGACTGAAACAGGTTGAAGATCTCCTAACCAGTAAATGGACAGTAAGGCTAGAAAGATTTATTTGAATTATAAGATGAAGTGCTAATAAGTTGGCTAGAAAATTCTGATTTTATCTTGCAAACACTGAAAAGTCACATCACCAGGAAGATAAGCAAAGCAGAATTATATTAAATGTGAAAGAGTGTGTGAGATGGACAACTGAGGATAAAATGGAGACATGTACTAACTGCCTAGGCGAGTGGTTCCCAAATTCTATGTGTGAATACACATTAGCCAAAGATGATTTTCTTTAATGGCCTACAGCAAAATGAGACAAATAAAATGTATATAAAAGTTAATTCCTTTATATCGGTCTCAAAATTTTACTTTATTTCACCAATATATTTTGTAGACCTATGAAATTCGAAAGGGTAGGGACCACAAGCCAAAACTGATTTGGGCAAAGAAAATAAAAAGAAATGAGTGTAAGAAAAAGAAAAAAAAAAAAAGGAGTTGGCAACTGAAAGGAAACAAAAATGAAACATCTCATGGAGATATTACAGAAAAAAGGGGAACATTAAAGGGGCAGCTAGTTTAGAAGACTACAGTATATTAAAGTATTAATATTCAGTATTACAGAGAGTATGTGATTTTAAAAAGTTGCTCAGCATAGGGTTGCAAGAACAAGAATGAATTTCGAGTATTTGAAACACACACACACACCAACTGAAGAAAAATAAAAAATGTGAAATGCAACTCTATCTTTCTTCAATCCTTAAATATGTATTTCAGGCCAGTGAAAACTAACATGTGTGATCAGGAGGCCATGGTTCGATTCCCAGTCAGGGAAGAAATCAAAATATCTTGAAACAAATGAAAATGAGAACACAACCCAAAATCTATGGGACATAATGGAAGCAGCCTTAAGAGAGGTATTCATAGTATTTCAGGCCTACCTTAAGAAACAAGAAAAATCTCTAACAACCTAATTTTATATTTAAAGGAATAGAAAAATAACAAAGCCCAAAGTGAGAAGAAAAAATAATAAAGATCAAGTCAGACATGAACAAAATAGTTTAAAAAAGAACAAACAAAAGATTAATGAAACCAAGAGCTCATTTTTTGAAAAGACAAACAAGATTGACAAACCTTTAACTAGACTCATCAAGAAAAAAGAGGACCCAAATAAATAAAATCAGAAATGAAAGGACAAGTAACAACTAACAACACAAAGGATTGTAAGAAAATGTTACAAACACCTGTATGCAACAAATTGGACAGTCAGGATGAAATAGATAAATTCTTAGAAGTATACAATCTTCCAAAACTGAATCCAGAATAATCAGAAATCTGAATAGACAGATTACAACTAATGAAAGTGAAACAGTAATCCAAACCCCACACCTGCCAGAATGGCTACCATCAATCAACAAACAAGTGTTGGCGAGGATGTGGAGAAAAGGGAACCCTTGTGCACTGCTGGTGGTAATGCAGACTGGTGCAGCCACTGTGTAAAAATAATATGGAGTTACCTCAAAAAAATAAAAATGGAACTCTTATACCCAGCAATTTCACTTCTGGGAATGTATTTTAAGAAACCCGAAACACTAACGTGAAAAAATGTATGCACCCCTATGGTTCACTGAAGCATCATTTACAATAGCCAAGATTTGGAACCAGCTCGAGTGCCCATCGTTAGATGAGTGCATAAAACAACCTGTGGTACATTTTATGCAAGGGAAATCTTACCCTTTTTGACAGCATGGATGGACCCGGAGAGTATTATGGTAAGTGAAATAAGCCAGTGTGGGAAAGACAAGTACCATAAGACTTCATTTGTATGTGGAATCTAATTAACAAAATAAACTACCAAACAAAACAGAAACAGAATCAGAGACAGATATCAGAATGATAGCTATCAGAGGGGAGGGGAGTTGCAATGCTGGGTGAAAAGGGTAAAGGGATTAAGCGAAGGAAAAAACAAACTCATAGGCACAGACAACAGTGTGACAATTATGAGAGGGAAAGGGGGATGATTGGAGACAGAAGAGAGTAAAGGGGGCATAAAACGTGATGGAAGAAGACGTGGTTTGGGGTGGTGAAAACACAATACAATATATAGATGATGTTTTATAGAACTGTATACCTGAAACCTATATAATTTTATTAACAAATGTCACCCCAATAAATTCATTTAAAAAAAGAATTATCTGAACATTTTAAGTATTTTGTTTTGTTTTGTTTTTTAAGTAACAAGTTGAAAAATCAGCCTACCACTGCTTGTTTCTGAAAATTTTCTGGAGAAGAGAAAGATCTCTGAATTATCTGTGGTGATGGAGTCATGTTATCCACAGTTCTTTCATGTCTGCAAAAAATAAGAAAACAAAATATAATCATTCATTCAACAAGAATTTACTACATACCAATCATGAGCAGACACAGCTCTCAAAGGAATGAACAAGACAAGGTTATTTGCTCTCATGTAGCTGGGGAAAGGATTCAGACAATAAGACAGCTTCACATAGCTGTAAGTGATATGCTGAATGACTAAAGAGAAAGTAGAGGTGAGAGAGAGAGGATTCTATTTTTGCTTATCTTGTCAGGGATAGCCTTTGTAAATGGACATTTGAAGTGAGAGCTGAATAACAAGGTTATCTGGGAGAAAAACATTCCAGCTGAGGGAAGGAGTAGTAAGGTGTCAGCAAACTATAGCCCATGACCAAATCATTTTTTGTAAACAGTTTTACTAGAACATAACCACGCTCTTTTGTTTTTGTATTATCTATGTAATGCTACAATGGCAGAGCAAGAAACTGTATGACCTGCAAAGTCTAAAATATTAACTACCTGCTCCTTTATAGAAAAAAAAAATCAATCCCCTGGATTAGTGGAAAGGCCTAGATCAGTGGTCGGCAAACTCATTAGTCAACAGAGCCAAATATCAACAGTACTTCTTTAAAATAGACTCGCCCAGGCCGAAAACCGACTTCTGCGCATGGGCCACGAAGTTTCAATCACACTGTACGCGGGCCCGCAGGTGGTATTTTGTGGAAGAGCCACACTCAAGGGGCCAAAGCGCTGCATGTGGCTCATGAGCCGCAGTTTGCCAGCCACGGGCCTAGATGAAGAACTAAAATGTAAAAGATCTGATGGTGCCCTGGCCAGTGTGGGTCGGTGGTTAGAACACCAGCCTGCAAACTGAAAGGTGTGGTTTGATCCCCAACACTGGTCAGGGTGTATGTTGGAGGCAACCAATTGATGTGTCTCTCTCACATTGATGTTTCTCTCTCTCTCCCCTCACCCCTGCAATGCAAAAAGAAACCCTCAGGTGAGGATTAACAACAACAAAAAAAGAAACAGGTTTGATCAATTAGATATGACAGATGAGGGAACAGAAGAATATAAAAATCTAGATATTTAAGCAATTAAGTAGAAAGACTGAGACAGGAGAGAGCAACAGGTTTTGGGGAGTAAGAATTTTAAGGGCTTATTCTTTATCCCTCACTTCCTGAAGAAATAACTTGCTCTACAGAAAATCTCACTTAGATTAACTGTATTTTAAAACATGTCTTTGGAATCAAACCACCAACTTATTTGTCTTATAGTTTAGATCTTTTTGAGTTTTCTTAAATCAGTTATATATCTGTATGCTAAGTGGGTGAAGTGTATAATTTCATTTATAACAATATAAAAATAATGTACACTCTAGCCTTTGATGAAAAGTAAAGTACTTACATATCTCCCCCCCCCAAAAAAAAAATTCTAAGGAGGATAAAAGCTCTTTTTTTCTCCACCTAAAATGCCTTTGAAGGTTCTAAAAGTGGGCAGAGATGATTTGAATTCCAACTGTATTGAGAAGTATCTAAAGACAACTTCAGCAGGCAAGAAAGGACACAAAGAGGGTACCTTTTTTACACTGCTATTTTCTTACAAGTTCCTCTTCCAATATATTTTCATATCTATCCATTTCTCTCCAGCTCTTGGCACTACTCAAATCCAAACCAACCTCGCCCCAAGAACTTCCCTATCTTGCTACCAATAGCTTTTTAATTGGTCTATTTTCACCCCTGTCCTTCCAATCTATTTTCCCATTGCAACCAAACAACTCTTTAAAATAGAAATCTAAAATAAAATTAAAAAACCTATTCCTATTACTATCCTACAAAAAACATTTCAACGTCTTCCTACGGTTTTTAAGGTAAAAATCACAAAATCCAAATTATAGGTTATAAGAAAGACTGTATCATCGAGCCTCTATGTACTTCTCCAATATCATGTACTCTCCATTTTTCACTCATTAGATCTCAGTACATTGTCCTCTTTCAGGTCCTCAGTCATTTATATCATCTTCCCTTGTTACAACTTTCTCCAAGCACTTTCTACTCCTTTTTAAAAATATATATATTTTATTGATTTTTTACAGAGAGGAAGGGAGAGGGATAGAGAGTTAGAAATATCAATGAGAGAGAAACATCGATCAGCTGCCTCCTGCACACCCCCTACTGGGGATGTGCCCGCAACCCAGGTACATGCCCTTGACTGGAATCGAAACTGGGACCTTTCAGTCCGCAGGCCGACGCTCTATCCACTGAGCCAAACCAGACAGGGCTCTACTCCTTTTTTAGAGAACTAGTTATGAGTAATTAAATGGGTAGTCACAAAATACATATATTATGTGTCTTCATCTAGACTTTAGCTCCACTAGGCAGCACATCATAGTGGCTGGGCTTGATCATACTGCCTGGGTTTGACTCCCAGCCCACAACTTAAGAGCAGTTCAGACTTAAACAAGTTAACCTCCAATCCTCATTTTCTTCATATACAAGGAAGCGATAATAAAAATCCCGACCTCATAAAACTACTGTGAAACATAAAGGAGATAATAAATGCAAAAAACTTGGTAAAGAATATGACACATGACAGGTATTTGATAACTCTTTCTTGAATAAAGCCCATATGATTGATAAATAGCTCTATGGATATACCAGTGAAAAAACTATCCCTGGTAAAATTTCTGCCTCCCCAAAGCAAATAAAATTATTTAAGTAAATATAAATATGATACCTTTCCTAACCCCCAGGAGCTGGAAGGCATTTTAGAGATCATTTAATTCAACTTCTTTTCCTTACAAATGGAAGGATAGGAGCAGAGAAATGAGCCTGGTCAAGATTACACAATTTGTAGAGGCAGACCTAGAATCCAACTCCATGAACTCTTAGTCCAATAGCCTATTTACTGACACGTATTTTTAAACTGCAAGTAACCAATTAGTGGTATAAACTAATTTGAATTTTAAAAGATAGAGTAAAATGTAAATTGAGTACATTGCAAGTAGTAAGTATAAGTAATATTTTGAGAAATTTTGTTATATAGATGTATATTTGAGTGTGGGTATGTCTTTACAAGGGAACATAAATATAGTTATATATATTTATAAATATATGTATCTGTTTTAAGGGTATTATATATAATTTATATATCTACAGTCCCCTTAGAATAGATATATAAATAACTATAATCCAACATAGCAAATAATATAGCACAATAAAGAGATAGGAGCATTAAAAAGAAAACCAAACATGCATTCTGAGATCATGACCTAAGAAAATTCCTAATAAAGGCTTTAACAATAGGTGAGAAATATTACCTGTTAGGAGATGTGGAGGTAGGGCTTGAATTTCCAACATGATGCTGGGAATATGACAAACTAACATCCTGTGAGGCATGGCTACTTCCTAAAATAAAATAATTTGAGAAATTCTTCTTGATAGAAAATTTAGTTGGAATTTTTGTCTCTCCCACCCCAAATCACTCCAAAAAGGTAGACATAAGCTAAAAGCCTCAAATTTTAACAGACTGCTTTAGAGTTTCATCAGAGTGAAAATTCTAAATGTTCATTAGCAGACATATCCAAAACAAACGGTCCCAAATTGGGAATATCTGGTGTATAAATATCCACTCTGGATATTCTCTATCATAATATTCTGATCCTCACACTAAATTGTAAGACTGGACACATGCAAAGTTTCATTCCCACATGATCAAGAATCAAAACTTACAAAAGTAAATTACAAAGCAACCAAGAAAAGTATTTTCACCTGGCGGGTGTGCTCCGTGGTTTGAGTGTCGCCCATGCGGCAATGGGTCAAGGACTGGACCCGGGTTCGATTCCTGAGCCCCTACTGGGGCTTGTTAGAGAGGCAACCAATGGATGTATCTCTCACATGGCTGTTCCTCTGCCCCCTCCCCCCCACCTCCCTTCCTTCCTTCCACTCTCTCTCTCTGAAAAGCATTGGAAAAAATATCCTCTCGTGAGGATTAACAACAACAAAAAACCATTTCAGAAAATAATTCTTGTTTATTTCGGAGCATGGACCCAAGACCCAAGTCTTTCTAACAATAAAGTTTATGTTCTGTTAACCCAAGCTGAAATTTTAAACTAAGTTCTTAAATTACAACTTTCAAAATCCATGTTGTCAGTGTTACCCACAAAGCTTAAAGTATTTTCATCCATAAATGTTTTTTAAAACTGAATAAAATTAAAAACAAAAAGCCAAAGCAGCAAATAATCCCTCTCCCCAAACAACACCGATTTAAATATCTTCGTGCTGCAACTGAATAGTGAGTTACCTGATCTAAACTGAATTTTGATGGGCCTTCCAAAAAGTTTTATTCCATTAAGTAGATTCATTGCATAAGGAACAGACACTTCATGTTTGAAATTCACAAATGCAAACTGCTTGGGTTTACCATCCTTATCTTTTGGAATTTTCACTTTTATTACTGGCCCCGCCTATAGACAAAAAAAGAGTTTACAACTTAAATAACAAAATTTCAGGAGAATACTTAAAAGTTACAAGATTAAAAACAAAAGAAACGCAACCAGGAACTCTTAACAAACAGATACCCACAGATTTCCGTCTCGATTGGAATAAAGCTCCTACAGATACATTACCGAAGATTAATTTATTTGGGGTGGGGAGCCCTTGAGGAACTACCGACAGAATCACTGAATTTACATTTCTCAGCACTTTTTCACTGTAAGGAGGTGACCAACAACCAGCGGCGTCCCCTCTGTGGAAATCAGTGTTTACCACCGGCAGTTTCTTTGGACCGAAGTTCAGCTTCATCAAACTTACAGCGGCCGGAGGGAACAGGCTCCTTCACATTTTTAACACTTTTTAATACAGAAACACCACAATGCTACTTTTCCAGGGAGCACTTATGCCTCTATTTTAAATATCTTAATGCCGCAATTTTATAAGAAACCGAGTGGAAAAGACAGACTGACAAGGAAATTGAAGTGTAATTTGCCAGACAAACCAAAGACAGTGTCTTACGGGGAAGACGAGAAAAGGGGGGACAGGAAAAACACTGTTCTCTATAAATGTCTAATCACGGTGCTGTACACCTCCAACTAATATAGTATTGTTTGTCAACTGTGATTTAAAAACTAATTTAAAAAAAACAACAACACTGCTCCAGAGAGAACCCGTATGTATTATTACCTCCCTGAGACCCCCGAGCGTTCGCCTCGGAAAGGCGTTACTGAGGGTCCTTCCACCACCTTCAGGCCTCACTCCCGCGAGAACTAACGAGGGTTCGCTCAACGAGGGACGCCCGCCGACGCCGCAGGAGGCCCAGGCCCTCCCGGCCCACAGGTAGGGTGCCCGGCCCACCAGTAGGGTGCTCGGCCCGACAGCCCAGCTGGCGCGAAAGAAGCGGGGAGCCGCGGGGCCCGGCCCTACGCCAGCGGAAAACGGAAGAAGGCCGGTCCCGGCCGCTTACCTGGTGGAAAAGCTCGAAAAGGAGCTCCTCGGTCACTTTAGTTTCTAGGTTGCCCACAAAGAGAGTGCAATCCGCCTCCGCCGCCCCCATCTCGGCGTCGCCCCCTCCCGTGCGAGGCCGAGGGGTCGTCGCCGACGCTCCCACTGCGCACGCTCCAAAGCCCACGTCCTCGCGCAACCAGGCGTCGCCGACGTAAACGTCAGTCACGCTCGCTCCCGCCTGCGTCGACGTGCGCTGACGGAGTGCGCACGCTCGCGAGGGGAGCGCTCGTTGAAGGCCGCGGCTCCCGGGATGGCTCGCGGAGCGGGCGGTCTCCGCGCCCGACACGGGCTGGACTGACCCGCGGAGCGCGGCGGCCTCCCTGGACGGACCGAGGGGCGTGAGGCGGACACCGCGGCCGCTTTGAAGATGGCCCTGAACGACGTGTCCCTGAGCGCCGGCGACCGAGGGAACACGGTGGCCCAGCGCGCTCCCCGCGGCGGCCTCAGCCCGCCGGCGTCAGCGCTGGCGACGGTCTCTGGAGACAGCGCCCTCGTGGCCAGGCCCGAGGCGACCCACCCGGGACCTCCCCTTCGGCAGGCGACCCAGCCGGGTGCTCGGCCCGAGAGACGTCGGGCAACTGGCAGCGGCTGGGGCTCGCCGCGCTCCGTGAAGGGAAGGGACCCGGACGGGAGGCGCCGGTGTCATGCGGCGAGGTTCTCCCCGTACCCGGCCCCCGGCGCGGAACTGGACCTGCTGCGGGGCGCGCGCGCGGCGTTGCGACTATGACTCTGCAACTGCGAGTGACTGCGGCTGTGACTCTGCGACTGTGATCCCCCGCCCGCCTTTCGGCTTAACACGCGTACCGCCCCGCCCCTCAATTAGTATGTGAACAGGCCTCTTAAAATGCTTTCTCGGTGCAGCCGTAATCTTATTCCCAAGGGGAATATAAAAACAGCTGCGAGTCTTGTTACTGTAGCCTCGCACAAGGAAGATATTGCTGAATTCAGATGGGTTTACGCCGCTAAAATGATTAGTTCGGGAAGGAGGTGGAAGATTGCTTTCTTAGTCCTAAAACTGAGCTAATGGGAACACCCTTCCCAAGGTCAACAGCCCTTGTGTTCACCCTCTGTGCACGCCATCGCCATCGCCACAATGGCCCCACACCTCTCTCCACAGTCTTAACTCCCTTCCCTGGCAGAGCACCCTCCTGTGAGGCTTGTAATCGAGCTTCCCAACCGGCCCGCCTTTCCTCACGTGATTCCCTCTGCCTTTACTTCTGTTGGCGAAAAGGAAATGCTTCAGTTTATTACTCTGCTTATCTTCGCCCCGCCCCCATGGCCCAATAATCCTATTATCTTGCCCTTGGCTTTTACCCTCTTCCATCTCCCTCCTTCATCATCTTAAGGAATATTTACAAACTTGCATCTCAGCCATACTAAAAACAAAAGCAAAACGTAAACCTCGAAACTCTCAAATGTTTACATCCGTTTACATTTCTTTGCCAAAAGCTCCACATGATTTTTTTGCACTTATATTTGTCATTTTAACATTTGTATCCAATCCCAGTTTCCTTGGTCAAAACCCGTTGTCCCGAAATTACTGACATTGGTCTTACAGCCTCTGTTAGGAAGCTGTTCACCTACGTACTTAGCATCTTCCTTGGGCTTTCTTGTTTGCCCTTGCTCATTCAGACATCCCACAACATATGAAGATCTCTTTGATAAGCATGTGGTGGACTTGACCCGGTTGTGCCATGGAGGAGCATACTCTAGACCAGTGGGTCTCAACCTTGGCTGCACATTAGAATCACCTGGGAATCTTTTTAAAATCCTGATTTCTGGGCTTCATCCTCCGGAAATTCTGTTTCTTTGTTACTAATGTTGTTGGCCCACCCCATAACGAAGGTACAGAATTTCCGGAGGATGAGGCCCAGAAATCAGGATTTTAAAAAGATTTAAAATCAGGATTTTAAACGCCAGGTGATTCTAATGTGCAGCCAAGGTTGAGAACCACTGCTCTAGATGGAGAGCCTAATGAATCAATAGGTAGTGTGCACACTAGGCTGTTGATTAGGTGCAGTGATAATAAGCACTGGTGGTGATGGCTTTCTGTAACATTTTGCTATAGTGTTCTCTTGGCTGATTACTCCTTATTGGCTAATGGTTTTGTTTCCTAACCATACGTTTCTCAAGGTTTAAAAAGGATGGTAATGGGAGAAAGTGGGTTTTATAAGAGCCAACTCTATGCAAGCAAGTAGACTAGCTTTTTCCCAGTGGACTCTTCAGACAGCTAAATTACCACACACCACACAGAACTGAATTGTTAGAACTACATCTTAAGGGAAATGTTGATAAACCAGGGAGCTTCCATAAGAGGGTGATTAATATAGCAAGGTCAGAAAACCAGGTCATAGGAAAAATGAGAGAATTGTAATAGGTGCCATTTATTGAGTACTATGTGCAAGGCAGTGCGCTAAGGACTTTTATTCAGTGTTTATTGAAATGTTCATTGAGAACTTAATGCTGTGCCTGTTACTACCTGTGCTAGGCACTTAGAATAAAGTTATGAACAAGATAGATAAGGTCTCTGCCTTTATGGAGCTTTATATATGTCATTTAATTCTTACAACAGCCCATAAGAGAGGTATTATACTTTTTTTCCTTTTTGCTGAGAAACAGGCACAAAGAGATGAAGTAAACTTTCCAAGGTTATACAGCTAGTAAATGATAGAACCTTAAGCCTTTCAACCTGTTTCTCATTTGACCCATGCAACCCAAATATGATTTGAGTAACTATTTTCTCAATTCTCCCAAGGATAGTATATAACATACTCTTCTAGATATCTAAAAAGATGTTAATTTATATTATATGATAAATACCTTAAGCTGGGCATTATGATAACCCATGGTTGACAAAGGAATCCCAAAACTATAAGTGGAGAGTTTTAGACTGGGAAAGGATAATAAAATTAAGGCTAAAGATAAAAGATTTTCATAAAACTTAGAGATAAATTAGGAAAATACCACATCATAAGGTAATGAATTAGCTGTCCAAAGTTCAGACAAAGGCTAAATCCAGTCAATTGTAAATAGGACTAGCTGACTTCAGTTCTTTCCCATTTAACCTATAATTCTATACTCTAAAAAATGAATAATTAAAATTAGAAATGGAGAATTAGGGGGAAAGATAAAAATGAGTTATAATATGTAGGATGACCATATTTACTGTGCAAACTAGGACCTTTGAGAGTGGCAGTGCTATCACTTGAGCTGGGCAACAGGCATATCAGGATTACCCCAGGTAGATTCGGTGGGTGATAAAACCCAAGGAGAAGATACAGCATTAGATATGCCTTTGAAGCATATTCTTCAGCTTCAGGGAAAGGGGGCTGAGATTTGTGAATGAAGGAACAAAGTCTGGCAAAAAAGTGCATGAGGAAGGGAGGACCCAGCGGGAGTGACTTCATTTCTGTCCTGGCATCAAGAGTAGAGCTTTGATTGGATGATAGTGTACATGTGCAAGGAAAAAAAAAAGGTGTGAGAAAAGAAAATTAATGTGGCTCAATTGGTAGGAGAGTCATCCTGTACACCGAAGGGTCTTGGGTTCCATTCCTGGTCAGAACGCATACCTAAGTTTCAGTTTGATCCCCAGTCCTGGTTGGGGCAAGTGTAGGAGGCAAGCCATCACTGTTTCTTTTTCTCCTTGTTCTTTTTTTGTTAATCCTCACCCAAGGATTTTTTTTTTCGTTGATTTTTTTTTTTTTTTTAGGGAAAGTGGAAGAGAGAAGGAAAGACAGAGAAACATTGATGTGAGAGAAACACATCTATTGGTTGCCTCCCGCATGAGCCCCAACCAGACACCGGGCTGGGGAGGTGCCTGCAACCAAAGTAAGTGCCCTTGACTGGAATCAAACCTGGGACCCTTTGGTCCACAGGCCAACAAACTCTAGGGCTGTTCTTTTCTTTTTTTTCCTTTTTTTTTTAAGAATAGTTTATTGATTTTTAAAGTTTATTTTCAGAGAGAAAGGAAGGGAGAAGAGAGAAACATCCATGTGAGAGCATAACATTCATCTGCTGCCTCCTGCACGCCTCATACTGGGGATCGAGCCTGCAACCCAGGCACTGGGTCCTGATCAGAATCAAACCAGCACCCTTTTGTTGCATGGGACAACGCCCAATCAACTGAGCCACACCAGCCAGGGCTCTCCTTATTCTTAACATCTACACTAGTGTCTAAGTTAGAATGTATTTCTAGATTCACAAAGAATGTATTGTAGAAGCAAGAACCAACATAAACCTCTTTCAATGGAATTACATGAAGCAGGGACAAGTTTCCCAAGAGCAGTATTTGTTATTAAGAATTTGTATACAAAGTGAATTCTTATTTAATGTCAGTGATTGAAAATAACATAATGTCATTCTAAAATAGATGACTTTTCTAAGATTAATGCAAAACTAGTCCAAAAAATTAATTCTCCTGTAAGTTTTTCAAAACCATTGTAATTTCCTGTTTGTTTTTATTGCCCCTTAAGTGTTAGACCATACTAAGCAACTGACCAGTATGTGTTGAAGTGGAGTCCTATTAGAATATTACTTCCTGTACTCATCAGCACTAAAACTCTTAAAAAGAATGCCCATTGAGGGTAGAGAAAAAAAGGAGGCCAATGAAACTGTTTACCTACAAAGGAAGGAAGAAGGAAGGGAGGGAGGGAGGGAAGAAAGGAAGGGAAAAGAGAGAGAGAGAGAAACTGTTTACCTCATTAGCCAGATTTAATGATAAGCCTAATTCTAAGAGGGGTAACTTGGAAGGAAAAAAGGAAAGGAGGGAGAAAAGTCCTACAGGGGAGGGGGCAGTAAGTAGACTTCTCATGGTCAAAGTTCAACTGCCTGGTGAGCAAAATTAATTATGTCTGTCATTCCTTTGGGGAATCCATATCCCACTCAGATGCAGATTTTATCTTACCATTTTCCATGAAAAGCACTCTGATTTTCCCAGTGGACCAAATGTATAAGCTTGAATACTTATGACACCATACCACCTATTATTACCTGTGTTCATTGCCTACATCCATTCAACTGCAAAGTCCTGCCCATTTTATCTTTACAATGTATTTATCCTATATAATAAAGTCTAATATGCAAATCGACCAAACCCTGGAATGACCAGTTGCTATGACGCACACTGACCACCAGGGGGAAGACGCTCAATGCAGAAGCTGCCCCAGCCTGCAGGCCCAGGCCAGCCAAGGCGGGTGCCTGCAGGGGCCCCCACGATCGCCCCGCTGGTCACCCCACAGATCGGCCCTGATTGCCGGCCAGGCCTCGTGACCCTACCCATGTGCGAATTTCATGCACCGGGCCTCTAGTGTTTCTATAATCACATCACCTGTACTGTATTTACCTGGACATCGAGCCTATTTTGTTTGCCTCTGTCTCTCTACAGGCTAAATGTATATAGTGTCCAGACTAATGAGCCTTTTAAGGCATGTTTCTGATCACATAATTTCTACTCCAGTGTTTCCTATAGTCCATAGAACCTCCACTAGAAATGCAAGATACTCCTTTGAAAAAAAGAAGTCCATAAATTTGAAAGGGATGTATGTTTCATCATCATCTTAGGGAGACATAATTTATAAATAACATGTTAAAAGTTTTGATAATACTTTTACAAAAGGAAGCCCTTGATTTGTATCTTAAGTTCATTTTAACCGGTGTTTCACAAATTTATTTGTCCATAAGTTAAATTTTTTTTCATACTACCTATCTTCCTGAGGAATCTCAGTTCCTCAGAAATAATTAGAAATGCTGCCTACTTAAAAAGTTCCATTTGCTCCCCATGTCAGTTATTAGAAATGGATTTTTATATAGTATGGTAGAATTTAGTGAGCTTTCAGAATGTTATCAATTAGGCAAATTAGTTTCCTCACTCAAGGTTTGACAAGGTTCAACCCCATCTTTATTCAACATGATGTCTTTGGTGAGTAGGTGGGAAG